GCCTTCCTCCAGTCATCCTTCGGAAGTGCCACCACCCGCTCTTCAACGGATGTTGTCTTCCAGCTGAATCGAATTGGAGCGGTGTGCGCCCAATAGCCTGTGAGCACGTTCGGCAGGCCCGGCGTAGATGTCGAACATGGCCAGGGCCTCCAGCACGGTGTCCGGCAAGCTCTGGAGAGGCCCTGGAACATCTTCTGGCTGTGGTGCCCAGTAGCCGACGCCACTCTTGCAGTACTTGCACTTGATTGTGACTGCTGTGTGCTTCTTCTGTTGGCGGACGTGCGTAGGCCAGAATTTGTGGGGCTCCAGGCGGTGGCATTCTGAGCACATAGTCCAGGAAGCCCGGCGAGCCCATCTCGAGAAACCTTCAGCCAAGGAGCTGCGCCATGCTGACGTCGGGCGCTGCTGATTCTGGTCATAGATAGCCGGGAGCTTCTGGGCCAGCTTGCGCGCCTCTGCGCGCTGCACCTGCTTGAACTCCTCCTTGTCTTCTGCCGTGGGCTGGGCCTGCACCTTCCGCTTCTCCAGGAGCGCCACCCACGGATCCACGCGGGGCGCAGCGGCAGCTGCCCGGCGCTGCTCCCTCTTCTGCTTCGCGTTGCGAGCACGAGATGCCTTGGTTGAGCGCTTCTTTTGAAGGCGCTTCAGCCTGTCCAGGCACTGGTCAAGCACTTCCTGGGAACAGAAGGATGTGATTCTGCGACAAGCCACCGTGTAGATGTCATCGTCATTCTCGTGGAAGAAAGCCAATGCAGTGGTGATCGAGCCTTTGCCTTGCGATGTCTTCAGATGCTTCTTCAAGACGTCGGCTGCGCAGAAGCAGCAGCTGCTTTGCCCACGGCTCGGTTGCACTCCGGCTCTGCGTCCAATTTCCGAATTGCTGAATCTACACGGTTCAGCTTCGCTGAGTCCTGGGCATAACTCCTTGGGCTTGTACGCCCGCGCTGCCGGCCGCCGCAGCACCAGCTTCGAAGCTGTCTCAGCAGCAGCGGCAGCAGCGGCAGCAGCAGAAGAAGGACGACGCTTAGGTGCCATGATCACTCACAGGGTCGAATGCTATGTGGGAGAATCTTTGCTGCTTGCAATAAGACAGCTTCACGAGACAGAGTGGCTGTGACATGCCAATGACATCTCGCTGCGCGCGCTGACTGTTCTAGATCCAGGCCAGCTGACACACTCAAAACCCTAGCCTCGCTTTTCCTTTGCACTTGCGTCAATTGCCCAATGCTTGAGCTACTCATTCACCGCGGCAGCAGCTCCAATTCCTGCCACGAGAAAAAAGAGATTAACCTGCCCGACCTTCTGAGGCCGTGCCACACATGTTAAGCTTCCCTCTGAGGCTCTGACCACAGTTATAAGAGAAGCCGAATGGAGCGACATCCTTAAACCGGCTGAGGCTTTCGCGCATTTTCAATAGCTTCCAAGAGCGGGCCCACCCATGGGGCCGGAGAGATCTGCGTTGCTTATTCGAGATCAACGGACGCCCCAGCCGGTTTAAGGGTGTCGCTCGGTTTCTGGGGTGTGCCAGGGTCTTGGAAGTGGGGGAAGTTCCAGCCGGTTGAAGGATGTCGTTTGGTTTCCCT